TGGGGTTAACTTGGTTTCACGGGTTAACCCAGTTAATTCTGGATTAACCCGTTTATTTTTTTTTGTTTTTTGATTTTGTTAATGTTAAATGTTTTTTAATTTAGTTATCATACTTTCATGACAAGGATCCCAGGTTTAACAGGTTAATCTGGTTTGATCAGTTAACCCAGAGCAGGTTAATCTGGTTTGATCAGTTAACCCGAAGTTTTTTTAAATTAATTTTTTTCGTTTACTTTAGTTTGTTAATGTTAAATTTCTTTCTATTTAGTTATCAGACTTTCATGATATGTATCCTTGGTCTGATGGGTTAACCTAGTTTTATGGGTTAATCCAGTTAATTCTGGGTTAACCCGTCTATTTTTATTTGTTTTTTGCTTTTGTTAATGTTAAATTTCTTTCTATTTAGTTATCAGACTTTCATGATATGTATCCTTGGTCTGATGGGTTAACCTAGTTTTATGGGTTAATCCAGTTAATTCTGGGTTAACCCGTCTATTTTTATTTGTTTTTTGCTTTTGTTAATGTTAAATTTCTTTCTATTTAATTATCAGATTTTCATGACGCATGTCCTGAATTTGACTGATTAACCTGGTTTTGCGGGGTAACTGAGTTAATTCTTGGTTGGCCCATCAACTTTTTTTTTTTTTCTATTTAGTTATCAAATTTTCATGACATGAATCCCAAGTTTGATGGGTTAACCTGATTGGAAGAGTTAACCCAGTTAATTCATTTTTTTTTTCTTTTTCTTCATTAATTTTTTTTCTTCATGTTAGTTTTTTTCTTTGTTTTTTCTTTTTAATTAATCTATTTAATTATCATATTTTTATGACACGATCTTGCAGTTAGACCCATATTCAAGGCTCTTGAGTCATGTCAGTTTAATATTATTATTAATATTATAAATATACAAGGTAACCCAAAGTTTTTTTTTTATTAATTTTTTTTGTTTAATTTGGTTTGTTAATGTTAAATTTCTTTCTATTTAATTATCAGATTTTCATGACGCATGTCCTGAATTTGACTGATTAACCTGGTTTTGCGGGGTAACTGAGTTAATTCTTGGTTGGCCCATCATTAGACCTAAGGTTTTTTGGTATATCTTTGAAGAAAAATCTAACACTATTAGATCTTAGCCTTTTTTATATTTTTTATGCAAGAAAAAAAAATTAACCCATGGGTATGCCTTTGTTTCCCCCCCCCCTTTTTTTTTCCTTTTTGTATGCCTTTGTTTTTTTCCCCTTTTTTTCCCTTTTTAAGGCTTTTATTGTGGACTGCACAGTGCAGTCCACAGTAAAAAAGATGATGCCTTTAGTTTTTTTCTAGCTTTTTTCTTTTTTCTTTGTTTTTTAATTTACTTTCTTAATATTAAATTTTTTCTATTTAATTATCAGACTTTTATGATACAGATTCCGGGTTAGCCCAGTTAATTTTGGGGTAACCTGTCAATTTATTTTTCTATTTAGTTATCAAACTTTCACGACACAAATCTAATATTTAACGGGTTAACCTGGTTTGAAGAGTTAACCCAGTTAATTCAGATTTTTTTTCTTTTTCTTTCCTAGTTATTTTTTTCATGTTAGTTTTTTCATATGTTTTTTTTACTTAATCTATTTAATTATCATATTTTTATGACACGATCTTGCAGTCAGACCCACATCCAAGGCTCTCGAGTCTTGTCAGTTTAATATTATTATTAATATTACAAATATTATTTTTGGGTTAGATGTTGTAACCAAACCCAAGATTTTTGGATATAGTTTTACAGAAAAACTCAACACTTTTAAATTTTAATTTTTTCTAATATTTTTTATATAAAAAAATTAATCTGCAACATCGCACATGTCATCTAACTAGTATATATATATAATACAAAACAAAAAACAAAGATATCTTGTTAGCGATAGAATTCCTTTTGAGCCATTTCGTGCTTAGTTCTTGTGAACAAAACTGGTACGGAGTCGACAGACAAGTTTAGTGACAGGTGAGAACCACAGGAGGAGCACCACACTCTTGTAACTCTTGAGGAATCGACATACCCAAGTGATAGTGGAAGCCACTATAAATTCCTGGCTTGATAATATTTTCGCTTGCTTTTTTAATGACCGCACATAGACCCTTGATTGTGATTTGATTTAAATTTGTGCAAATCGCTCGTGTTCTTCGATCAGCCCACACATCAAACAAGTTACGTGCATGACTTTCTTGGAACAACAGGAACCTCCCTAAGTTCTTAACCATTAGCATGCTTCATGTTTTGTTGATGCAAAGGTAAACTGGTAAAGCACTAAAGCTCCTCCATAGCATTGGTGGTGCAAGGAAATTAGATTAGTCCATCCATAGATCTGGCGACCGGCTTTACTTTCTATTCAACAAACAAAAAGGAACCTCAAATTTCTGAAGACTGATTTTTTGTTCTTAAAAAGAATAATGAATTCGGTTGCGCCATCACCAGCAGCGTGACTAACAAGTTTCTGACTCATCCCATCACCGTCTAGCAGACACAGGGTCTCACAAATCTGCAGAGAAAGCCTGCATGCCACTTTTCTTAAAACAATCATACATAACATTTAAAACAACAAGAATTGGCGATGAACATACAACATACATTTAAAACTGGTGACATAATTTGACAAGGCATGTACAAATGACAAATACTTAAATTGATCACGTTGCAACATAAATAAATGTAACATAATCCATTTGCATCCAGCTAGACATCTAGACAGAAAAGAAGAAATCACAATCTTCAACCGCATAGGTTAGTACCAACAAGCACAGAAACATCTTAAATTCACAGCAGAAGTTTAAATACTACATGCTCTAATTCTCAACTCTTAACAACTTCCCCATCTTTCTCCACAACTACACTGATTTTCTCATACTTGAAATCAACTGGCTTCACATTACCCTCTCTTGGAAAAACTGTGTGCCTGTTAACAAAAACTGCCCAAACAAACAGAACCGCAAATGCCAACATCGCTCCGCACCCAGTCACAAAAATTATCCCAGCAAGAACTGACAAGGGACAAAACCTCCTCTTATGCACTCTTAATTCCTCATTAGGCTCATCCACATAACCATGTGGATCGGCTGGCAATGAATGCATCCGATTAGGCACTTTTCTTAGCCTAAACCTCCATGAGTACACAGTACAAGTCTCTAAAGATTTCCCATTAAATGACTGTAAAGCCACATAAACCTCATTATCTCCCCACGTTTTTGATAAATCAATTGAATATGCAATAGTTGGACTGTGTGGCCTTTCATCACCCACTTTACTTAACCTAACTTCTAATCTTTTCAAAGACACCTTATAATCGACCCAAGATTTCAACTTCTCCCCAGTATTTGTCTCTAAACGCACAGATGATGATGCATTGCTAATACCTACAGCTAGAAGACTTGCGTTAAAATCACCCACATTACTATCACTTAAAGAGCCAATTTCAACACCCAGATAACTTTTCTCACTCAAGACCCCAGATTTACCCTGACCCAGAACTCTTAATGCAAAATTACGAGACCCCATTAAAAGAGAAAGACCATTGCCTTTACCGGAAATGGAGAACGAGAACTCAGTGGAAAACGATGTCGCTTTGGCAGGACTGAAGCTCGGAAATTTGAAAGGGTGTTTGTACATGAGAAGACCAGAACTCGACGGAAATGGGCTGGTGAGTAGCACGTGAGAGCCATCGTTGGAGACTTTGGCATCACCGAGAAGGGTAATTTGGGGATCGAAGTTGGGGTTTTTGTTGGTCAGGGTTACAAGCGAGAAAGTGGAAATGGGACAGAGCAGATGGAGTAGAAGAACTAAGAGGTTAAAGGGTAATGTGGATCTGGAAATGGGGAATGTAGCCATGGAATTGGAATTGAAGGGATTTGAATCAATGCGATGTAAATGTTATGGTTTAACTAACAGATTTCCATTTCCAGGGTCTCTTGTGGTTTTGTAGAGATAGATTTTCGATCACTTTTTGTGTTTTGGACATATACAGATATACTTGCTGTTTTGTACTGCATCGGCGCTTGCTTTCACGAGGAGGAAGGATTTTTTTTATTTTTATTTTTTCTGGTCGAGTGTCTTCTCAGATAATTTAAATATCTATTTTTTAAATTAATATGATATATTTAAAGTAATTTAATATTTTTTAAAAAAAATATTAGAAACTATTTGTACTGGGGTAGATTTTGTAAATAATGATTAGATTAACCAAATAATTTCTAGTTTTTTTATTAGAATCTATATATACTTTCCTTTTAAATTTTAGATTTGTATAAATTAAAAATATTATTTGATACGATAGTTCAACTAAACTTTTTAATTTTAAAATTTTAAATTAATATTTTTATTATTTTAATATATTAATATAAAAAACATATTTTAAATTATTTTAAATCAAATATATTTTGACTTCTCCCACACTTTTAAACAAACTCAAAATAACATATTTTTTATTTATAAAAACCTGAAAAAATTCATCTTATAATAATTTTAATAAAAAAAATATTTTTTTATAGTTGTAATTAAATATATTTTTCACAAATTTATTTTTTAAAAAACTCAAACTACAACAATATTAAAAAAACAAAAGGGATTCTATAATCTATATAACACCCTCGTTTTTAATGTTGCCGACGGTTTCAAAGGGACGTAGAGGGGATGTGTTTTTGTGATGTATGATATTGCAGCCTAATTATATTTTTAAAAATTTGATTTATTTTATACTTAATTTTTTTATATATTTGTAGATTATTTTAATACAGTGATGTAAAAATTAAAATTTAAAAAATAAATAAATAATATAATTTTAATATATTTTCAAACATAAAAAATTATAAAAAACAATTTTTATAACACTTTCTCATTAATTAGTTGACACGGTTTCATGCGACCCCTGTTGATTTCATGTTTCTTTTCATCCTTTTCTAAGAAATAGAAAAGGGAAGAAAAAGTAAAAAAATAAAAGAAATTGGTGACAAAAGAAGACATGTTTTGGACAGAATATTACTAAATCGAGCATGATAAAACTATTTAATTACTTCTGAAACTATAAATATTATTTATTTTATTTTGATAAACTAAATTAATCATCTACCGGAAAGTTTCTTTAGAAGAAAAACACACCGTTACTTATTACAAAAATCCAGATATGTTTTTTTAGACAAAAAAAAAAGTTGAGGAAGAGCTAATATGATGTGCTTTTCAATATTTTTAGGATCCTTATGGTTTCAGGTACTTGGCTTGCTCGTAAAATCAAAATATGCAATTAAATTTCATTTTTCTGTTATTATATTATATTCTATATTTTTCTTTGATAAATTACAGTAACTTTTTTTTTTTGAATATTTGATCACAAAACCCACGTCCACATAAACAAAATATTGCAGAAACTTCTTTCTGAGTCCTATTATATCCAAGAGACCTTTAATTACTATTCAGAAAAAACAATAGTTAAATCAAAAAAATAAAAATTAAAGAAAAACTATCAAAAAGAAACTCAAAACAAAACTGAATAAATTAATAACAAAACTAATGTTGTTCGTGTACTAAAAAAATCATGTTAAGTTTCTTTATATTCTATGCGATCTATTCTTTTAGTATTCTTAAGTTAAGTATCTTTCAAATTTATATTCTTTATCTATTCCTTTTGAATTCTTAAGTAAAGTATCTTTCAATTTGAACAGTAATTAAGGACGTTTTGGATATATTAAAGCTTGAGAGGAAGTTTTTGTAATATTTTCTTAACATTAAGGGAATTTTTGTCAAATATTCAAAATTCTAATTAGTTTATGTAATTTCATAATATCTCAAAGACTTTATTATAGTTTATCCCTTTTTTTATAGGCAAAATATCACCTCTTTAACTTGGGAAAAAGTATCACTAATTAAGCTAGAAATGATGGGTAATCATAATATATTGTGGCATGTACTCCAAGTTTACTAGTTATATTATTATCAAAAAAAGATGTATCTTATCACAAGCTAATCTCATATAATAAATTCTGCTTTGGTTTAATACACTGAGATCTAGAAAACTGAAGTGTCCAGATTTAATTATGCTCCCACACCCAAATAACAATGAAATATAATTACCACAATCTTCTCCCAAAAATAAAAAATTGTACGCAGATCGGTAATTATACCCATAGTTGCCTACTACAATGCTGTCACCTTTAAATATGTTGTTGGAATTGTTTTTAAAGTATTTTTTTATTAAAAAATTAAATTAATATTTTTTTATTATGCTATCATAAAAATTAATAACAAAATATGTTAAAAAAATATTATTTTCATATATTTTTAACTGCACCATTTCAAGTACAATATTCAAGGAAACAATTACTTGAAGCATAAAAAAGGCTATGCAAGTTACTGATTGCCCGTAGTTTTAGATTGCAAATTACTCCAGGTCCAAACTTCTAGAAATTCAAATTCTCTCCCAGCAAGTCTTTCTAAATTCTAAACCTATCAGTTTCAATGGTGTTAGTATATTAATATTTCCTTTGTTATTATTTATTTTTAACTAACATGTTTTTATTTATTTTTTCTTATTGTATTTATATTTTTGTTCTAAAAAATCATTTTCATCTTTATATAAACTAACTAATTATTTAGATAAATAATCAATACTTAAAATACACGTGGACAACTTTTCATTAACGTATCACATACTCTATTCTATCTACTTGCTTAACCAATTTAATTATATATTCTTAACAAATTAAAAGAAAGGATTGCGTTGTGGAATAAGCCTTCCTCTTGTCCCCTCGTGAAATGGAGTGCCATGTAATATTTTTTTTTTTTTGACACGCCTGGAAAGGAGGATGCTTTCACCCTCTAACATCCTCATGGGCTCATAGCCTCATGGGCAAATACCGCAGACAGAAATGCCACCGGTGGGTAAATGCCATTAAACTGGTGACTGGTGTTATGCTACATGATGGATTAAATGAATTTTCACGAAAAAAATAAATACATAGACAACTATTATGTTTATAAGGAAGCAAGAAAAAAAAAAGAGTTGGGTTATTAATTTTATTAGATTTAATAATTTTATTTTAATTTAATAATATAATAAATAATAAATAAAATAAATAAATAAAATAAAATTAACTAAATTAATTTGAGTTAATCCATTAAATTCATGACTCGATATAACTCTATATTCGGATAATATAAAAAGAAACTAACTGTAAAAAAAAATTAAAAAATCTAAATTAATTTAGGTTAATTTCTTAAATTTATAATTGATTAAAATTTTTTAGTAAAAGGACAAAAAAAAAATAAGCAAAAAGAAAAAAAAAGTATCTAATTTAATTTAAAAATAAAATATTAAATGATGTAATTAAAAAATTAATCCAATTAAAAAAATAATACGAAATAGAAAAATAACAATTAAAATAATAAAAACAAAATCTAACAGGCATGACAAATAAAATTATAATGAAATCAAAATCAAAATTATAATTCTATGAATTATTTAAAATAAAATAATTAGTAAAAAAAATAAATATTAAATTTAAAAAATAAATAAATGAATGGTTGTTTTGAAAATATGAAAAGACAAATGTGAAAATCAATAAAGAAAGAAAAAAAATTTGTTAGTATAAAATTAAAGATTCATTAGTCACACGTGTCGTGGAAGCTGGCATTTAATTGCTGAAGGACGCTATACATGCTATTTGAAGAGAGCGGATGTAGTTACGCGTGCTTACATATACCACACATGTTATCAACATTTTAATATTAAATAATATTTTATATCTACTAAAATATTAAATTACTAAATTGTTCACGATCAAACTTGGTAATAATAAAAAAAATCACAATAAAAAAATTAAAAATAATTTAAATTTAAGAGTAAAATTATTTTACTGTGCTTTCTAAAAATAAAAAGTTAAAAAAGCCCCTATCAATCAGTGCAATATTTTTTGCTTTAAGGGGCATTTTAGTAAGTTTACCATGCATTCAAAAACAACAAAATTACCTTTTTACCCAGCTGACAAGGCCAAATGTTTTTATAAGAAATGCAAAATAATAATTTTAATCTTTCAATGCCAAAGCTTCATTAAAAATTACAGTAAAAGTCGTATCCCTTTTAATTTATTTTATTTAATTAATAATAATACTGTATGCTTAACCATTGATGATGCATCCAGCATGCTGTAAACCTAAGTGGCATTGGTGTTATTAAAAATCAGTTAGAATTTCGTTCTTATTAAAAAAAGAGAAATAACAAAGAAATTACTATAGTAGGACTACTTCTTCAGTGTACTCTTCCATCAGTATTATGTCTGATTGCCACTGGAAATATCGAATAGGCTTAGTTATCGATCATGGTGCAGTTTGTAACTATTGATATCGCTAAATTTCACAGTTTTTAACTGTACAGAAAGCTCGAAGAACCCTTAAATCCAGCCCCCTGAAGCTTTGTTTTCTCCGTCCAGGAATTGCCTGTTCTCATCAGTGCCCTTTGCTTGTTCTCGGTCAGTACTGTTCTATAAATCTTGGTTTCTTTCGTAAGAAAAGCACACCACTAATATTTACCATGATCTCATATTTCTCATGTAGAGGAACACTTATTGGGTTAGCACAAACTTAATAAGAGATCTTGATTCTTGGATTTTCAATTTCTTAGATTACATTAGCTAGGATTTTCCTTTGTAATTTAATGGAGATTAACACGGTGAACATTCAACTTCTTAGACACAACAAACTTATGATGAATAACTTTAAGAAAAATGGAGAACTTCTGAGGCTAATTTATCTGTCCTTTTAAGAGAGATTGAGGCTCTTATATTGAGCTTTGCCTTTCTGTCATGCAATTTCAATTCTACAAGCCAAGCAGACTTGGCCAATCCCCAGACACTCGTTTCTAACACAACCACTGTGAGATATGAGATATCCATGCACTAACCCTCATTGCCGGTGCTTGTTCTGATTATGTTCTAATACAAACCAATTATTAAAATTGCGATTTTGTTTCTAGTTATGAATGGGTGATAGGTGTATGTATGCATCCATTAGAGTGCCTGATGATCTGCATCCACTTGGAGCTCAACAGAAGGTACCATCTATAAATAGGCACTAAAATGCAATAAAAATCAGATAGCAGCGAAAAATAGGAAAACATCATATATTATCGCAACAAAAGACCTTGGGGATTGTACAAGGAAAATTCCTAGAATTCTAGAGTTCATAGAATCTGAATCTATATAAATTTGGAGGCAAAATGATGTCAAGTGAGGAGGGGGTCCTGTTTCCTGACCTTGGACTTGCTCCCACAAAATCATCACTAGTGCTTAATAGCGGTAGATACATAGTGTAGCAATTTAGTCAAATAAAGCATGATGGTGTAGAGGATTCTATCAAGATTGTGTTTCAGCTCAGAAATATATCAGTACGCAGCTAGCAAGTTTACAGTTACATCGTTGGATTCTTAGCACCAATTAACGAAGGTGCAACCCGCCAAAACATTGGGGTTACACATGTTACACGCAGTCTCCAACATCTTTGGCTGGCCTAGCCCTATTTTCAATACAGCATCCAATATAGTATAATTAGCAACTCTGCTTGAGCAAATTGTCATGTTATTTAATAAGTCTTGCTCATTGCTGCATTGATATGCGGACACAATGTAATTAGCTGAAAACCTCCCAGGGTTAGGACCAAAGGGATGTGTGCTATTTACTGAAGGATCAATTGCTAATATATAGAAAGGCATTTATACAAGTATTAGAACGTGATTTAATGGATTTTTTTAAGGTGTAAACAAAGTGTGGTTGATCTACAAGGGAATATTAATTAATTGATAATTAGAGTGTTTTAAATTGGGTTAATCGTGTGTGTGTGTATTTAACAAAGCTAGTGTCTTATGATTACCAGCGACAATATTCTTCCATGATCAATCAACTCGACTAGAATAAAGAAGAGCACATAAAGAGAGGGCAATGGTTTGAGCTCTCCTACTTTATAACATATCTCAATCAAATCGATATTATCCTGATTCATGGCTCCCGACTAGAATAAAGAAGAGCACATAAAGAAAGGGCCGGCAATGGTTTGAGCTCTCCGACTTTATAACATATCTCAGTCAAATCGATATTATCCTGATTCATGGCTACGTACAAATTAAGTCATACACAGCGCGAGTAAAGGAGAGGGTGAGGGAGCGCTAGTTTTGAAGGGAAGTCAAAAGGGTTTGGGTCCCCGGGCAAGGAGCATCCAATTCCTCGAGGGCTTAGAAAAAAAAAAATCACACCTAGGGTTTTTCTTTTGGAAGTTACACATGTCCTTCATAAAATTTATGTAGTCGAAGAGGGTGACATTTTTGGGTTACATATTTCACGTTTGAAGACATTTTGTACATTCGTGTGTCCGAAAAATTATGACTTCCGACCCTAGGACCCCCTCTTCTTGTATTGTTTCCACTTCATATTCATTTGATTGATCAAGAATTTGACTCTTTCATTGTTAAGTTGAAAATCATCATTTCAAAAATCACGACCCCACTGCCAATCAATTACACAACTCAAAGTGTTAATTGGGCTAAACTTTCTCATAGATTCGGGAAACTTCTGAAATCTTGTTACTTTTTTTTATTCTAATGAATTCAAAAATTAACGTAAAAATTAAGGGAAAATATTTGTATATTTACCAAACACACACACACACATTTTTGTGCAATGCTAAGGGTATTTAATTTAATTTATTATTTTCTTGTTTATTAAACAATATATATATATATATATATATATATATATAGCCAGTTGGTCTTTAGTTCATTAGCAATGGGTCTAATTCTTAACAAATATATATTAAAAATTGCATTTGTTTGCATCTTTTGTAATAGGTGTCCAAAGCTACTACTCCCTCATCTTTGTTGTGATGGTAAGATTAACCTTTTATTAAAATGTATTTTAAATCTAACTCTCCCTTTCTTCCAACACTAACTTACTGGAAACCTCTTTGATCACTATAGGAACAATAATCTACAGTGATGCTTTAGCCTAATATGCCTGTCTTTATATAACGCTATATTATGATGGAAAGCTGGAAACATATCTTACTATATAGCAAGATTCCTCAATTATGTTGCTGGCAGTCAAAAATTAACTTTCTATGTGATTTTCTTTTTAGACATCAGTTATTATCAGTATAGCAATCCAAATATTTATTTTGTGCAGTGGAACAGAAGATTTTGGATCATTTATTATTCTATTGCTCCAGTACTTAGCAATTATGAGCAAAATTCTTATAATAGTGGGAGTATTCTAGACAGTTTATTGATTTATCAATAATCTTCTTCAATGAAAGATAGATTTAGGATTCAGGTTTGAAATCTCTCTTTTGTTTTTCAGCATAACATGGAGTGTTTGGCTCATGATAAGAAATGATCTGATTTTTAACAAGGTATAGCCGAATTGGGATCTCAATTTATTGTTGAATTGTATAGATTATTAGTTTGGTTAAAGTATAATAAATCTAATTTCAGCTACATGGATATCGATCTTATTGGTAGTGCAAATGATATTCAGGTGTGGACAAATAAACATCACTAATTCAGTTATTTTTTTCTATTATGATGCTTTCTATTTCATCTTATCTAATTTGTAACATAGAAATTTTATTTTCTTGAAAACAGTTATTTAACTTTTTATTACATCTTCTAAATGACCATCTTTTAATTAATACACTTGATTATTAAAAAAAAAAAAACCAGTTTCAAAGCATACACATAAAGGTTTTGAACCAATTCTACACTTATAAAGTGATAGGCTTTTAGCAAAGCGGTTCAGGATTAAAAACAAATTGTGTAGTCATGATATAATTTGCTCAGCCGAGGGAAAGAACATTAATATTACAAGCGATAACAATCTCAATCAGATCCTGAAACAACAACTCAACAGTGTAATTCCTATTCATAAAGGCGAAGAATCAAAATAATTAACCTAAAAAAAAAGAGGATAAACCTTGAGCACTCATTTACAAACATCTAATTAATCAACCAATTGATACCGGTAGGTATCAGAATATGCAACACTAGCTATACTTACGTGAACGTTTATGGAAAAAGGAAAGGATAACCATATCTAGAAAAGCTCAATTACATGTGTTAGTGGTGGCAGTTCTATTTTAAAGTTATCCTTATATTGATGCTTGAATGCGCGAGAGACGCATAAATGCTTGGTGTTAGAGAAAAAATGGGAACCTAATGCAGAAAGTGTTGGGGCCATGTGACAAAAGGGATCAAATGGTAAGACATTACTAGAATGTTGGTGTCATGTGCTAGAAGGGATCACATAAAGACCCTTTATTTCAAAAATTAGGGCAAGTATAAACGATTTTTTTAAGGTCTCATCACATGTGTATGATTCCTTTGCCATTGGGACACTCAACTTGAGGCCCAAAGTGGTAAAAAGAAGTCCTTTAATATCATCTTCCACTGCCTTGGATTCTCATTAAAGTCCTCAAACCATGTGATTTGGACCTTGATCCAGGGCCACATGGCATACGACCATACCATAGAGTGGTTTAGGACCTTTAACCCATGTTTCATAGCTTTTTAGAGATGGTTTAGTCAAGTAATTAATGTCAATAGGAGTTCGGTTAAGCCATAAACTATTACAAACCTGCAGTTAATTAGCGTTAATCGGAAGAAAAGGGTCAAACCTTTGACAAGGTGAAATCAATTTGTTGGAAGCGTAGGGAAATGGGATAAATTCTTGCCAAAGCATTTATATGAGTAGAAATTAATTATATCATCTTCAATACAAGGGGCACTGTTTTATTTGCAGTAGTTGCTAATAGCTAGCTTCCACTTGGTTATCACGTTGATGACGGTGTATAATGAAAAGAATCAAAGCTTGTAGTCTGTAAGAGACAGAATGTACATATGCATGTAAATTAGCTGCAAGAGAAACTTTCCCTTCACCAAGAATTTCCAAAGTTGGTTTAAATTCTTTCAGCGAAAAATAAGAGGAGTCAGCTCGTGATTGTGTAGAAGCTCCGGCAGAAAACCTCATCCCTTCGTTACAAAGGAGAGGTTAGAACCTCATACTTTTTGAGAGGAGAGGAGAATGTGATTACTAATCGAACTATGAACTCATTTGACACCTAATTCAGACTTCACTAGCATTGCTTGAAAACAACAAAAGATCTATTAAAGATCCGGTGCGGACATATTCTTCCTCAACACCCATATAAATTTAATGTCTCACATGTTTTTGAAAGAGGGAATAGATATCCAATATCCTTGATTTCAGGTTTGCCATATATCTTAAAGGAGTACATGTGTATTTAATAAAATTAGCAAATCACATTCAGGACAACTGTTAGCAACAATAACAACAAGATACGTACCTCTCTTGGAGATTTTCTTGGGGCCAATGTCCATTTATTTCTTTGGAGCAAGTTGTATGTAGCTTTTTTAAATTCAGATCCAATGACTTCATGCCGAGTTTCGGTTTTGGATTGCAAAGATTCATTTAGAATCTTAAATAATGAGTTTAATATCGAATTGGATTAACCGAACGGGGCTTGAAAATAAAAATTAAAAGAAAGAAGAAGATATAGTTAAGAGATCGATCGGATAGAGTAGAGAGATGGTCACAAAATACAATTTTGAAAAAGTCTCTTCTACAAATAATATGAGAGGAAAATTGATTTGTTACTAGTATAAACCATATATTCAGAGTCATGCAAACTTCCAATATCAATGAAACATGTTACAGCCAAAGGAAGACTAAGCGAACAAGGAGAAGCTGCTACACGGTTGATCTTGGTTTTAAAAGAGAAATCAGACACAGACACGCACACACGCATATAAATATGACTTACTTGATCTGTTGGTACTTGGTATTATAGAATTCGCTTTCTCGAGCCATGTTGAAGTTGCTGGTGTTGATGATGCACGAGAAGGGAGTGTGGAGCATCGCCAATGAAACCCGTTAATGCTATAGAAGCCACCAAAGGAGGAATCCAAAGGGATAGCATGATCCAAAATCATGGCCAGGGACACTCGGGATCAATGCGATCCCTTTGGATGCCTCCTCTAGTTGCAGTAGAAACATAGAAACTCCTCCGTAGAAGTCCCCCCCCC